TTCCAACCTAGGTGATCCAACATCCATCAATTTACTAACTCCTTTAATTTCTCCTTTCACACCACCACCAAATATGACAACACCTGTGGGTAGGGGCTTAATATTCATCAACAACTTCTAAACCCTTGTCATATGTCTGGAACATCCATTGTCAAAGTACTAATATTCTCTAGTTGAGGCTCTCAAGGATGTGTGAGCTATAAGGTTAACACTCTTATCGTCGATACTTCTATTTTTTCTAACTGGCTTATCCTTGGACTTAACTGAGGATTTTGTTTTCCATATAAATTTATAATATAATGGCTTTATGTGACCATACTCTCCATAATAATGACATTTCTAACAAGATTAGAAACTATTTGGATGTTCATTATGTCTGCTAGAATGTTGTAATATATGGCTAGACATTGTGGTCATCTTCTTTCTTTCAGAAGGAAAGAACTTTTCTTTATACATTCTTCTCTGTCTGTTATCATGATGACACTGGCCTTTTGTAACTTCTATTTGATCAGTCCAATTTTTCATCCACCTTGAGGAATCAGTAACATTATTGAGCTTGGAATTTAGGAGATTTATCTCACTTTGAAGATGAGAGACAACACCTAAGAGTTCCTTCTTCTCCTTCTCCAATTCAGTTATGGCATTTCTCTGATTCTCCTCAATCTTCTTATATTCCTCACACCTGTTGCAGGTTTCCTTGTAATCCACATCCATATATTCATATAGATCATTTTCATCACAAGCTTCTACTTCATCAGCCCATCTTCCAGAAAGAACAGTAACATATTCAATAGTCTCTTTGTTGGATTCATTTTCAGACTCATCATCATCAGACCAAGAAACAACCAACCCCTTTTTTCAGCTTCCTGAGATAGTTGGAACATTCTGGCCTAATGTGACCAAAACCTTCATACTCATAGCACTGAATCCCTTTACTTTGATATGTCTTTTCTTCAGTTATGGTATTCTTTTGAGAGTCATAGTTATTTCTGATGTCAGGGGTGATGTCATTAATACCTGGTCTTCCTCTTCTATTCATTCTTTTTAAAATTATATTGAACTGCTTCCCAAGTAAAACAAATGTATTTGACAGTCCCTCATCAGTATCCAGGTTAGCTTGTCCCTTTTTATCTTCAGTATTGGATACAAAAGCAGTGCTTTTGTTCTTCTTTTCAATTCTATCATTCAAGGTTAATTCAAATGTTTGAAGTGATCCCACTAGCTCATAAACTCTTATACAACTGTATTTTGAGCTTCTTCAATGGCTGTGACCTTCATGTCAAATTTCTTAGGAAGAGACCTAAGAATCTTCCTCACCAACTTCTCTTCTGATATCTTCTCTCCCAAGGCACTAAAGGCATTAGCTATTTCAAGTATATTCATGTGAAAGTCATGAATACCTTCATCTTCTCTCATATTCAGATTCTCAAATTTGGTAGTGAAAAGCTAAAGTCTAGACATCTTCACCTTGGATGTTCCTTCATGAGTTGTTTTGAGAATTTCCCAAGTATTCTTAGCCATAATACAAGTGTTGATCAACCTAAACATGTTCTTGTCAACTCCAATGAATACATCATTCAAGACTTTGGAGTTTCCAAGAGCTGTCTCATCTTCCTCCTTGCTCCAATCCTTTTCTAGCTTCAAGGTTTCTTTTCCATCCTTATCCTTAACCATAGGGTGTTCCCAACCCTTGATGATAGCCTTCCAAGTTTTGCTATCCATTGATTTTAAGAAAGCCACCATACATGCCTTCCAATAGTCATAATTAGTGTCATCCAAGACTGAATGCCTATTAACATTTCCTCCTCCTTTCTTGTCCATAGTACCAAAATACAAACTACTTAGAGCTCACCCAAAAAAAGAACAGGGTGACCTGCTTTGATGCCAATTGAAATTTTGACACGCAGATACCAGATGTCGAGACATATGTCACAACACCAGGATCAACAACAGCTTGATCACACAAGAAAAGATGCAAAAAAAAAATGACAGAAATGTAAAAATAACACCAGAATTGTTAATCCAGTTCGGTGCAACTCACCTACATTTGGGGGCTACTAAGCCAGGAAGGAAATCTAATATGATAATATTACTTCAACGCTAAACTCATTCATTTACAACTTCCGCCTAATCCTTACCTTGTGCAACTTCTACCTAGACATTCTTTAGATATGAAATCCCCCTCTCACTTCCTAATCAGTCACAATCTCGGTGACAATTCAACAACAACAAACAATAGAAGTAGCACACTTCTAAGACAATACTTGATATTGCTTAAAAGCTTCAATCAAGAACAATACACTTTTGCTTAAAAGTTTTAGAGTGGACAATGAACAATGAACAATTAGTCAACCTCAATGCATTAGAAGATACATGAGTGACATACAATTAACAAACAAAAAACTCTAAAGACCAACCAAAACAATGACTAATCCTTATTCCTAAAATTCTTCACGATATGCTCTTTGCATCAATAGGATTTTTCTTCAATTTAAATAGCTTTCAGACCTAATAGACTTGGGATCTTGAGGCGCACAAATAGCAGCAATCAGTTTCGATTCACTGCAAATCAACCTGCACAATAATAGGATTAAAATATAAACTTTCCAAAAAAAGGCTCAAGGAACCTTTTTATGAAAACTAACATAATCTGTGATAACAGAAATTTCCACAATATACTCCCCTAAAAGTTGCGTACGTGTGCATTATAACACACTGAAAATACTAAAATAGTCATGCCCTAACTTTCTGGTATAACATGTCTTGGAACATGTCACAACATCATGCAAAACATGATGTCTGACTATCATGGCAGAACACCTGGTTCAACATATTGCTAACAACATATTGTTTTACCAAAATGCAGCCAATTTAAAAAACACAGAACTTACACTATAGATGTAGTACGAGACAAACTGTTGGAAGATTAAGAATCAAAACGAGAATAAAATAAGTGCATGAAAGATGATGATATTTTGTTGGATGTGTGATAAGATTATACATGATAAGATTATAGTGACAATATTAGAGAGTGTTGGCTAGCTCCGATAGTAGGAAATATAAGCTTAGGTAATTTGAGCTTGTATTATGTTATTCAAAACACTAGAGAAATAAAAGGGGATTGTTTTATTATAGTGTAGTCAGACATGCGATGTTGTACAAGACTAAATACTGGTTGGTTAAGAACCAAATCAAGAATAAAGTAAGTGTATGATAGATGAAGATGATGTGTTAGATGTGTGGTAAAATTATACTTGATAAGATTAAAAATAACAATATGAAAGAGTGTTTGGGTAGTATTTATATTAGAAAATATGATGAAAAATAAACTTAGGTGATTTGAGCATGTAGAGAAAAGCCATGTAGATTTTGTGGTAATGAAAATAGCTCAAATGGAAATGTAGGGTAATGAATATTTTAACGATACCAAAAGAAAGGAACCAAACCCCTTACCAAACTCACCACTAATCCGAAATGAATCGTGAAAATGACTCTGAGAATGATTAATGAGCGAACAACTTTGTTAGTTGATGTAGGAGGTGATACCTATACACACATGCACACACACTCACAAAAACACACATACTTTTTCTTTGTATGACAATCAACCATCAAACTAGAAAAAGAAAAGAGAATTTAACCAAAAGAGTAAGACAAAATTCAAATCATGTTTTCCTCTTTATTGCACCTTATTTTTTTCTAGCCCTTAGTGATCTGGAGAAAAATCGTTCCATCAAGTGTGTCGAATGCTTAAAATTCATTTTAAAGTATTTATTATAAACAAATTTTATTAGGTGTTAAAACAAAATGTAAAATTTTCTAGGAAAAAAACAAAATATTCTTACAAAATCCAAATTTAAATCATGGCAAGCAAAAAATACCTACTACTACTATTTATATTTATGTTATTATAAAACCCCATTTATTAAATTAGATTCTAAAAGTAGTAATAAATAACGGGGGCATTGCGTGGACGTAAAAAGCAATTTCCGTTATGATAAATGAGGAAAAACAAAACTCAATAATTTAATATTAATTTAAAAAGACAAAAAAACAAAAATGTTAACTCAAAGACATAACAATATTGTTAACAAGTCCAAAACGGGGTTGTCAATAGCCATCAACAAGAACAAGAAAGCTTCTTCTGTACACAAGCTTGTACGTCACAAGTCATTTCTCTCTCAAATACATACACAAGCATAAAGACAAAAACACACATCAAATTTAAATAATAATAATAATAATTTTATTTCATCCATTCATAAATAATTAAATAGAACTCAACCCGAACATGCGTTGTTAAATTTTTTAAAATTTTTTTTAACAATAGTTTTATCGATAAAATTGATCTGATTTGTCAAGTATATCCATTTTATCTATATTTTTTTACAAATCAAACCAAAATTTTAAAATTGCACCTTCTAATATACCTGTTAAGCGAATATTAATATGAAAATTTGGAATTGTTAAATTTAAATGTTGTAATTTCTGCAGGAGAGATACATAATTTGTAAAAAAATAAAAATAAAAAAATTAAATTAATAAATAATATTGTACGTGGGACCCATTTGAACAGTTTAATTCGGCCGCCAGCTTTGTCGTCTCTCTTGTCTCCGTTTACATCTTCCTTCCCTCCGTCGTTTGACTACACCTCTCTCTCTCTACACCTCTCTCTCTTTCTCTCTCCTCAAACCTCTCTTTCTTATCTTTCTCATTTCTCTCATTCATTCATTCATATCATACCTCATCATATATGTCAATGAATCAATCAATGTGATCGATCTTTCTCACTCTTTCTCTCTTTCTTTTTCACCTTCTTTTCTTGTTCTTAAACCGACAAATCAATCTTACCCTCTTTCTTCACTTCTTTTTGTTCTTCTATGCGGCGCCATAAAGGTTCGGTTATGGTTATTCTTCTCTCTGTTTGAGGATCACTGTTACTTTTGAAGCTTGTTTTTGTTTTTTTTAATCATTCAAAAAGAGATAACATAGACACAACCATGGCTGGAAGTAATGAAGTCAACCTTAATGAATCTAAGGTAACAACTTTTCTTAGTTGTGTGCTTTTTATGTTTTTTTGCTCTTGTTTCGTGTTCCGTGTTCTTACTTTATTTGATTCTTCTATGTGTATTCTGTGTTTTTTTTCATTCTTTTCTTTGTTTTTAGAAGTGATTTGTGGTGTGTTTTTTGATGTTGGGTTTTTGGTTTTGAAGGGGAAAGTTGTAATCTTTAACATAGATTGGGAAGGATTGTTGTATATTTGTTGGGGGAATATCTCTGTGTTTGAAGAGATTGTTGTCTCTTTGTTTTTATTATCCTCTCTGGGTTTTGTTGATAATGATGGTCCCTATAATAGGGTTCGTTTCAATTTTTATTTTTGTACTTTCTATTTTTCTTACATGTAGGCCTCTTGGGTTTCTTGTTCTGGTAAGTTGGTAAATTTCAGTTTGATTTTGTCTCCAAAGTTGAAAATTTATCCCCTTTTCCCTAAATTCTGTATGGTTTTTTCATGTTTATACTCTCTTTTCAATAGTTTTTTGCTTTTCTAAGGCTCTATGAGCTTTGATTAGATGATTTTTTGTCCCTTCTTGTTTAGAATAACTATAGTGTTGACTGAAATGTTCATTTGATATTGGACAAGGTTCTAATGACATGTTACAATCTTTGCAGAGTGTTGTTCCTCTTAATACTTGGGTGCTTATCTCCAATTTCAAGCTAGCTTACAATCTTCTAAGACGAGCGGATGGAACATTCAATAGAGAGTTGGCTGAGTTTCTCGACCGCAAGGTCCCGGCCAATACGATTCCTGTTGACGGAGTATTTTCTTTCGATCATGTTGATCGGAATACAGGACTTTTTAGTAGGGTTTATCAACCTGCTCCTGAGAATGTTACTACTTGGGGCATTATAGAGCTAGAAAAGCCTTTGAGCACAACTGAGATTGTCCCTGTCATAATTTTCTTCCATGGTGGAAGCTTCTCTCATTCCTCAGCTAATAGTGCTATCTACGACACTTTCTGCCGTCGCCTTGTGAGCATGTGTAAGGCTGTTGTTGTTTCTGTAAACTACCGAAGATCGCCCGAGCATCGGTTCCCATGTGCTTATGAAGACGGTTGGAATGCTCTTAATTGGGTTAAATCAAGGACATGGCTTCAAAGTGGAAAAGATTCTAAGGTTTATGTCTATATGGCAGGGGATAGTTCCGGTGGTAACATTGCTCATCATGTCGCGGTGAGAGCTGCCGAGGAAGATGTCGAGGTACTAGGTAACATTCTTCTCCATCCGCTCTTTGGCGGGGAGAAGCGTACGGAATCAGAGAAGAAACTGGACGGAAAGTATTTCGTGAGGTTGCAAGATCGCGATTGGTATTGGAGAGCTTTTCTACCAGAAGGAGAAGATAGAGACCATCCCGCTTGCAATCCTTTTGGACCCAATGGTAAAAGCCTTGAAGGACTAAAGTTCGCTAAAAGCCTTGTTTGTGTGGCTGGTTTGGATCTTCTACAAGATTGGCAATTGGAATATGTCGAAGGTCTCAAGAATTATGACCAAGATGTTAAACTTCTTTACCTAAAGGAAGCCACCATAGGTTTCTACTTCTTGCCTAATAATGATCATTTCTATTGCCTCATGAACGAGATAAACACCTTCGTGCATTCTAACTGTTGATAAATCACCACTTCTCTACTACTACTACTACTACGACTACTTAACCATACATGACTAAAAGCCTGACTTGTATTTTTTATGTCCCTACTTTACAGTGGTGGTGTGTAGTTATTATAAAATTATGTAGCGTTGTTACTCACTATTTTAACATCTATGGTGGTAAATTTGAACTTTCTGTTATCCGCGGACAACTTGTTGGTGCACTCTGCCTGTATCTTTTGATGGTAGCACCGGTTACCGGAGTTTGGTTGTGCCACCTTATTCAAAGCTTGCCGAATTTACTTGTTGGACCTCGAAAGGAGGAGGAGAGATACAAGACATAGGGCATGATTGATGAATTTGATTAAGTGAGTGTTTTTATGTTGTATAACTATTATATAGAGTGGGAACTTTTGAGTATAGCCCATCCTGTTATGAACTTGTATGTTTTTTATATAGTAATATAAGTGTCTTGTTTGTTTGGTTTTTTAGTTTTTTGGTTTGATCTTTGTCCAAAATGCTCAAGTTGTAGTGTTCTTTGTTGCATTTTCAATTTCTTGACACAGAAGTTACATATGTATTTGCTTTTGTTGATGGATTCAAGCTATTGAGAAATGTTGGTAACCAAGATTAGTAATCACCGGTTAAAATGATGAATTGAGTTATTCTATGTTTTTTTTCATCTCTTTAAAATTACATCTCAGTGATAGGTGCAATGCAACCTAAGATTCAGTTGAAAAGGTTGACACCAAATGTCCAATGTGGAAAAGAGATGTGTATTCTTGTCATGCGTGATCTTTAATCATTTGTTAGAAAGGAATAATGGAACATGTAATAGAACATGACAGGGGTGGGTAGGATAGGAGGACAATCCTTAGTCCTTTGTTCATTCATTACCTTAAAGTCAAATCCCATCCACCAAAAGGACACAAGATGCTTTCACAGAAGAGTGTTCACCAAGACCAAGTGTTTGAATCATAAATTTCTCCATCTTTCAACAACAACTAGGTTAATCCTTTTTCTCATTGTTTTTGTCACTTGTTCAATTTTTGACCAAGAAATTCATCTCTACAATTATGCTGAGAATATTGCACATGTACCCTAAAAAAAGTACAATGGATAAACTTGATGAAATGCATTGATTCAAATCTATCAAGAATATAGTTTCTATGAGTCTCTTTTTTCCTTTAAGCAAAAAGCTTCATTGAAAAATATTATAAAAAAAACATTAACTTTATTCTATTCTATTCTATTCTATCCTATTCTACATTGTTATTCCATTTCATCATCTAGTAATAAAACTATTATAATTTTTCTTTATTCTGACTAGTATTCGGGAACAGCTAAGCTTTGACAAAGACATGAAACTCTTGTCTTTTAGTACTATTGATTTTCTTGGGATACTTATCTACTTTGTTTTTTTGGGAGCATTTGTATAACAACACCACAAACTTATTCAAATTAGGCACAAAGACTTTTGTTACAACTCTCAAGTTTGGTTTTTTTCTTTCTACTTTATTATGATTTATGAATAGTTCTTGGTATATAATCGGTTTGTCTTTGAAAAAATATTCCCTAATACGACAGAGAATGGAGTCATTATCAATAAATGGGGTTTCTTTAATTTGGATTATGGACAAAATTTGATTGGTTATGCTTGGTAGTACTTTGCTTTATTATTTATAGTTAATTAAAAAATATTTGATGGGTCATTACTTGTGTTATGCGCATTCACACCACACCAACAATGGTACCATTATGAGGAATCTTCTACTCAAGCGTGTCGTTAGTGGCTAATTTTTTATATGACTACATTGTATTAATACTTAAATCATAAGTATAGTTCTTCCACCTCATGTTGGCTACCTACTTTCAGCTTTATGCTTTCAACTTAAATCCGTTTTTGCATAGTTGGATTCTCACGGGACAAATGAAAAAGGTAAGAGAATATCAATAGGTTAGTAATAAAAACTAAAATAAAATTTAACCATTCATTATTTTCTAGTCTAATGGTAGAAGTGGAAAATAAATATAGTTATGGAGAGTCAAATCATTTGTTGTGAGCATCTCTTTAAATTGACGCGTTTGGTTGGGTCAAGTGCATAGATTTGTTAATAAAAAAATTGATGAGGTGGAGGCAGAACAATCTTAATAAGAATATTGTAATCTAAAATTAAGTAATGAAAAAGTGATAATAGTTTTGATCATTATAAACATCATGAATTGACAATTCACTGTAATTTTTTTTTAGTTTATTAAATAATTAATGTATCTAGTCTATAGACTGACCAAATATATTAATTATTTAATAAATTTTAAAAAATAAATTGTCTCTTATATATAAAAACAGAGGTATTACTTGATACATTTATGAAAAATTAAATTTGTAATGATTTATTTAAATTCAGTGAAAGATAAAAAAAAAATCCGGTTTTGTTTCTTATTTTTCTTTGAGATTAAAAAAAAAAATTAGAAAAAGGATTTTTTAATGCACCTTATATATTATTTAGACATTAAGTGAAAATACTTAAATGTTTTTAGATTTTGAAGATACATCTTCGAGCGCACATTGAAATTTTAAGTAATTCAAAAATACATCTTCGTAATATTTTAAAAGTCATACACCATACATTAACTCTAATAGATATTTTACACGTATATTGTTCCGGAAATGCATCTTTGTTTACTTTACGGAATAAATCTCTGTAACCTATTAGAACAGAGTAGTTCATGTGATATTTTACACGTATATTAGCATACGCAGGTCAAGGTCCAGGATCACTCTCGCAGATTCTCCAAGATCGTCAACAGCCCAATCAGGGGCAATTTTTTTGCAATACCGTGGGTTTTCTCTCACGAAATTCAAGGATATTAAATCAAGGTTCAGCCCAGTCAGGGGAATCTTTTCAAGACCATGGGTATTTCCCGTGACGTTATTTCAACCTTGTGGTTGATAAGATTTCTAAAGCAAGATTCAGCCCAGGTAGGGGCATCTTCTACAAGACCGCGAGCGTTCCCCACGAAGCTATTCAATCTTTTGTTGAGCAGACCAAACAGAGTTCAAGCAAAACTCCGCTTATTCAGGGGCATTTTCTTCAAAATTCATGGGCGTTCCTCATAAAAGTTATTGCAACCGTTTGTTTTCAAGACCATGATCCTCAAACAAGTCAGCGAGCGTTCCCCGGTGATTCATCTCAACCCAATCTTCCTCTTGGGTGTTCCCTAATGAGCTATCTCCAGCAGATTTGACCTTTTGTCAAACGTCTTACTATCATCCTTTTGGTGATAGCTGAACCTGTCAGTTCAGTATAACCTGTATTCTTTTGGTGTTGGTTACCTTCAAAATTGGGAAGTTATTATCCTTTTGGTGGTAGTAACTTATAAGTTTCGCTCCATTATCCTTTTGGTGATGGGTCTGTCATCCTTTTGGTGTCATGACGTGCGAATGTTCTCCATTATCCTTTTGGTAATGGATCCCCTACATCCTTTTGGTTTCAGGGTTATATTTGTTTCGCTCTATCATCCTTTTGGTGATGGGGCTGACATCATTTTGGTGTCATGACGTGCGAATGTCCTCCATTATCCTTTTGGTAATGGATCCCCTGCATCCTTTCGGTGTCAGGGTTGTATTTGTTTCGCTCCATCATCCTTTTGGTGATGAGTCTGACATCTTTTTGGTGTCATGACGTGCGAATATCCTCCGTTATCCTTTTGGTAATGGACCCCCTACATCCTTTCGGTGTCAGGGTTGTGCTTGTTTTGCTCCATCATCCTTTTTGGTGATGGGTCTGACATCCTTTTGGCGTCAGGACGTGTGAATGTTCTCCATTATCCTTTTGGTAATGGATCCCCCGCATCCTTTTGGTGTCAGGGTTGTATGGGGTTTTGCTCGATCATCCTTTTGGTGGTAGTAGCCCGTGTGTGTTTCATCCTGTCGTACCTCGAAAAAGCACGATCCTTCGCGAATGGTCGCGAAAAACACAGAGTCGCCACCGAACTTTATTTATTCCAAGATGGAATAGAAAAATATCGATAAAACCTTTAGGGAAAGAACATGGTCATCGCAACCAAGTTCTAGGTTCGGGAGTCGGTTACATGAGGGGAAGGTATTAGTACCCCTCACGTCCGTTTACTCAACGGGAACCTCTTGATTCGATTCGTAAGAAATGTTAGCCTGTTTGTTTGTTTTCTTCCAAAAATAAAAAGTGTAAAGGTAATGTAAAAGGGTTTAGACTATTAAGGAGAAATGGATGGTTTTAAAATTAGAGTGCTCGCCAAGGATTAGAGCCATTGTGCCTACGTATTTTCACTTGAAAGAAGTGAAGAATCAGAGCATCCGTAGTTCGTGGGACTACGGGTAAATAGAAATTATGGAATTTTAGAGAAATGTGCTCGCCAAGATCATCTCAATCTTGTGCCTACGTATTCTCGTTAACAGGCAAGAAATCAAAGCGTCCGTAGTTCGGACTACGGAATGAAAAAGTCTCGATTGCACTGGGGCGACAAAAGAGGTTTTAAATAACAGGTTGGTCTCGATTGCACTGGGGCAAGAGAAAGGGGAAGTTAGTTAGTGTGCTCGTCAAGGATAGAGATCCTCGTGCCTACGTATATTGCATTCAGAGGAGAATGAAGAATCAGAGCAGCCGTAGTTCGGCCTACGGTTGCCGGTTTGACTTAATGAAAGATACTTAGTCTTATTTGACAAAAAATATTGCTTTATCTAAACTAGTGAGGAGAGGACGCTTGCACCACTTTGAATGGATTTCCATATATCAACATTTATGGGGAACAACGCCACTTATATCGACTCAAATAGGTTACGGACGAAGCAATATTTTGCGTCATTCTCAAGACATCATATCTCTCATTATGAAAAAGGTTTGACGGTTCGCACGGCGGCGCGAAATTAAATTAATGTTGATGTTTAGTTTGTAAAAGGGAATAGATTTGAATAAGCTTTAGGGTTTTTATCGCACGAGGGCGAGGAAACGAGGTTTGACATATAAGATGTTTAGTTAGAG